GCATTCCTCAGCTCGTGGCCCCTTCCTCCATCTTCCAAGTCAGCACAGGCGGGTGGAGGACTTCATGGTGTATCCCTCTGACCTGCCTTCTTTGGTCACCTTTTACTCTTGAGGACTCATGATTATACTGGGCCCTCCTGGATAACCCCTGACCTTCTCCCCATCTCCAGGGCCTTAATCACATCTGCAAAGTCCCTTTTTGCCATGTAAGGTAATGTATTCACAGATCCCAAGGATTAGGACACGGATGTGTTGGGGGTGGCGGGGGTCATTATCCTGCCTACTACCTCCATCCAACGTGGAGCAACCTGTGATCCCAAATTCCCCCCTCCCTTTCCAGGGAGAGTTCTGTGCCATTTCCTGTGCAGCAGGGACTTACGGCCCCAACTGCTCGTCCATCTGTAGCTGTAACAATGGTGGCACCTGCTCCCCAGTGGACGGCTCCTGTACCTGCAAGGAAGGTAACGGGCCCTCCCTCCCAAGCCCATCCCCCACATGAGCACACTGCCCAGGTGGGTTGCCAGCCGAGGGGTTCAGGTGGGGCGGCCCCAATCCTACCCACATGCAACGTCAGGAGCTTCTACTGGTTGGAAACCCATGCCAGGAACTTCAGCAGCAGGAATATAATGAGGGGATTCACTGCAATGCTGCTGGAAGAGCTGAAGAGCACACAGGGAAGGTGTGCAACCCAGGCGTTACACCTGTAGGGGAAGCCGCTGTCACTCCTAGGGTCGGAGGGATGAAAGGAAGAGTTCCCAGAGCTTGGGAGCGAGGGCCACCTGGTGGGAGCTGGGACGTGCAGAAAGGGGCTGCACCACCAGAGGCCCGAGGGAGCGGACACACCTGTCTCTCCTGCTTCTGCCCTCCAGCCTATGGGCAGGTCTCCCACGGGCGGCCGAGCTGGGAGCCAGCTGAGGGGATCCTGGGATATGCAGTCTGCAGGGCAGGGGGCAGCCCCCGTCACAGAACAGGGAAGGGGAACAATGGTACGGTAGACAAAGAGGCCAGCGAGCAGCCTCAGAACGGAGACTCAGCCTGTCCCTCAAACAGAGGGCCCTGAGATGAGCTTCCAGACTCCAACCTGGGCAGAGACAGCACTCTGCACCTGAGCTGGTGCCTGTTCCAGGTGGGACCATCTGCCTGCAGCACGAACCATGAGCACCCGGAGGTAGGAGACCCGGGTTCTCGCCCAGCTCTCCTAACAGCTCCGTTGTATTTCTGAGCTGACTGTGTGGAATGGTTTGGGTAGGATGCTGTGTGCAGAGCTGGGGCAAGTGGGCAAAAGGACACACTGGACCTGGATGGAGAAGTGACAGTCCCTTTCCCTCCCCTCAGGGTGGCAGGGCCCGGACTGCACCCTGCCGTGTCCCAGTGGGACGTGGGGCCTGAACTGCAATGAGAGCTGCACCTGTGACAACGGGGCAGCGTGCAGCCCCATGGATGGCTCTTGCTCCTGCACCCCTGGCTGGCTGGGAGACACCTGTGAGCTGCCTTGCCCGGTGAGTGCCAAGGTGGGGAGGGACACATTGGGTTCAGCATCCTCTTATGCCCGCCATTTCCCTGGTGTTAGTTTGTCCACAGGAGCGCACAGAGAAGAGCACTAAGCTAGGTGATGGGACACTCGGATTGAGGTCACAATCCTAGTCCGAACCGCTCTGTGGCTATTTTACGACTTTGGCCCTCATCCCTCTCGTGTAAAAATGGCAAGTACTTGGCAGATGTGGTGACACGGCATCACTCTTCCCTGGCTGCTCTTGGTAAACATTACGGACCTTGGCATCGAGCTCAAATGCAGCTTCAGACTCCTTTGCAGCACAGCGCTACGAGACAGCCCCTACTAATCCACGAGAGCTGCCGTTCCTTGGTGATGTCTCAGCTTCCTACACTCGCATGATCAGAGTGCGTGGTGACTAACACAAGCACTGTTCAACAATAACCACCCAGACTGAATCACTGCGTCTTACGGATCTGAGATACAAATGGGCTGGGCCATGATGGCTCACACCTGTAATCCCAGCACTTTGGGAGGCCAAGGCGGGTGGATCACTTGAGGTCAGGAGTTCGAGACCGGCCTGACCAACATGGAAAAACTCCATCTCTACTAAAAATACAGAATTAGCTGGGCATGGTGGCACATGCCTGTAATCCCAGCTACTCAGGAGGCCGAAGCAGGAGAATTGCTTGAACCCAGGAGGTAGAGGTTGCAGTGAGCCGAGATCGCATGACTGCACTCCAGCCTGGTGACATCGCCAAAAAAAAAAAAAAAAGATGCCAATAAGTTAAGCCAGCTGATGTTATTGAATGAGCAATGCAGTCTAATGAGCAATTTGGAGTCCTGCAATCCTGGGTTCAAATCTCAGCTTTGTCACATCCTTTGTTACCCAAAGTTGGGGAGGTTACTTTGGGTGAGCATGTTACTTCACCCCTCTAACCTTGTTTCTCATCTTTACAGTGGGAATATGATGGAATCACATCAGGGGCTATTGTGAGGATTAGGAAAAACGAGGTCTGTGAACCTCCTGATACCTAACGAGCATATGAGAATGGGTGACCACCTTCTTTCCCGGCAACAAAGAATAAATCATAGTCTTTCCTCACATGTCATCAACGTGTTACAATCTGCAAAGTGCATTTTCATGTCCGATTTTAGTCAATGATCATTACAGGCCTCTGAGCTTGACCACTGAAAAGTAGGGTAGGAATATCACCTCCCTCCCTTCCAGCCTCATACTCCTGTGAGTGTTTTCAGGACTGTGTTGATCTCCACTTACAAAATGTGTCCCCACTGTGCCCCAGTCTCCCTACATCCCTGTGGGGTTGTGGCTCAGTTCTGTCATCAAGATCCAGGAGTTCCTACTGGACCCTCCAAAAGTAAAAAAAATGTTAAAAGAAAGATCCGGTAGAAGTACACAAACCCCTGAAGTTTGGGTCTGACCATTTTTCTCTCCTGGTCTTCTCCACAGGATGGCACATTTGGGCTGAACTGCAGTGAACACTGTGACTGCAGCCACGCTGACGGGTGTGACCCCGTCACAGGGCACTGCTGCTGCCTGGCCGGATGGACAGGTAACCTTCCCTGCTGTGCCAGCACCCAGGTACTGCCAAACTGGGTTGTATTCTAATTGTCTTGACCCTTCTTTCTCCTTCAATACCTTTCTTCTTGCTCCCTGAATATGCATCTTTCCCCATATCTGCTCTGGGTTCCTGTTCTCCGTTCCATTCAATTCAAGTAAGTATTTATTGAACATCTATTAGTTACAAGCTCTGTCCAAGGCACTGGAGTCACTCCAGTAGAAGGTCAAAGGCTGACACATGGTGGGTGTAAGTGCTCAATGTAGAGAATATGATGGAGAAGGGGACAAGGGACTCTCTCCTTAGTCCAGTCTCAGAATCCTGGTCCTTGTATCTATCCTGTCAGCCTGCCTCCTAAACGCCAGGTAAATCCATCTCTTCATCCCACTGCCACCATGCGGTCTGCTGGGCACCATCCCACGTCTGGCACTGCCTCAGCCTCCACTCTTGCCCAGCTGCATTCATTCTGCACCCAGATCCACCCAGATCTGCCATGTCAGTCCCTGTTCAGAATGCCTCAATGGCTTCCCACGAGTCTTACATAAAATTTTAAATCCTTACCAGGGCCCAGGGCTCACAGGATCTGGCTCTGCCACCTCGCTCTGCTCACTTTGTTGCTCACTACATTCCAGCCATCAGGGCCATAGTCTACTTCTTTGGGAAGCCAACCCCCTTCCTGACTCCTGGCCTTTGTACGTGCTATTCCCTCCTTGCCTAGATCACTCCTTCCCCTTCTTTTCACCTGATAATTCCTCATCTACTAGATTTCAATGTAAACCTTTCCTCCTCTGGGAAGGCGCTCCCCCTCCTGTGATACCCACCCCCCTCCTGGCCAAGACAAAAGCATGCCCTTTACTAATTCTTCTACCCTACACTTTTCCTACTGTGGTACTTAAATCAGAATTCAGTGACCGTTGTAGTAACTGTTCATTATCTGCCTCCCTCACATGGCCATCAGCTCTAAGGAGGCATCTGCCTTATTCACCATTGCATCCACTGCCTGCCACACACTGAGACGTGGATAACACGGTAGTTAAAAACCAGCTCTGGAGCCAGACTGCCTGGGTTTATGACCTTAAGTAAGTCTTTTAACTTCTCAGGGCCTGAACTCTCCGTCTGTAAAACACAGATAATTATCCTTGCAACTATAGGGTTGTTTTGAAGCTTAAATGAGTTACTACCTATAAAGTGCTAACAGTGCCTGGCACATAGTAAGTGCTCAGTAAATGCAAGCTATCAGTACAGGAAGTGCTTAGTAAGCATTTCAGGAGTAAACCTAAACTAGCCTGTCCCAAGGCGATGAACAGCAAAGAGAAAGAAATGCAGTCATTTCTGGCAGTATAGGTTCTCAGATAAATAATTAACACTAAGTTGCCCCACAGCCTGTGCTCACTACCAGAAAGTTTCTAAGCAGCCAAGAGCCAGGGACAGTGCTTCCACCGCAGTATCTCTGGCCTAGCGTCCCCTGCCCTGCTGGCTCCTGCTGCTCAGTACAGAATAAGGCTCCACCCTGGTCACTGGCACCCTAGAATCTCAGCAGGAGCCAAGTAGAAATCCACTTTAATTAATTTTTCATTGCCTTAATTTTGAGTGAGCCAACGAAGATTTTAATGACATCTAGTGCTTAAAAATTCTGTCTTTGGTTAACAACCTTTTGCAAGGCCTCTGCTGTTCTAAACCTAATTTCTCCAAACGTGGTCCTGAAGTCTTTTTGAGATGGAGTTTTGCTCTTGTTACCCAGGCTGGAGTGCAATGGCATGATCTCGGATCACCGCATCCTCCGCCTCCTGGGTTCAAGCAATTCTCCTGCCTCAGCCTCCCAAGTACCTGGGACTACAGGCACGCGCCACCATGCCCAGCTGATTTTTTGTATTTTTAGTAGAGACAGGGTTTCACCATGTTGACCAGGATGGTCTCGATCTCTTGACCTTGTGATCCACCCGCCTCAGCCTCCCAAAGTGCTGGGATTATAGGCGTGAGCCACCGCACGGTTCAAAGAAGCAATTGATGTCCTGAGGTCTGTCATGCAGAAGGTGGCCAACGAGAGACAAAGAAGGGCCTCCCACTCAGTGAGCCCTCCCCACTCACTTCTGCCTCAAGAAAAATCTATGCCTGGGGCTGTGCATGGTGGCTCAAGCCTGTAATCCTAGCACTTTGGGAGGCTGAGGCAGGTGGATCACCTGAGGTCAGGAGTTCGAGACCAGCCTGACCAATGTGGAGAAACCCCGTCTCTACTAAAAATACAAAATGCTGCCAGGTGTGATGGTGCATGCCTGTAATCCCAGCTCCTCGGGAGGCTGAGGCAGTAAAATCACATGGACCCGAGAGGCAGAGGTTGCGGTGAGCCAAGATCGCACAACTGCACTCCAGCACGGGCAACAAGAGTGAAACTCCATCTAAAAAAAATCATCTGTGCCTAACTTTGAAGTTCCTGGCACATTGTTCATACCTTGGCTTGGCACAGGTCTGGGGCTTCCCTGAGCTGTGTACCTGTCTCCCCCTTGCCCTCATTAGCCACAGACTTACTGACAACTGGCATACTCATCTTGCCCTGCACATAATATATGCTTATTAAATGTTTACTGAAATAATTAGGAAGAAGTTGGCCTATAGCCATTCATGGTTTTTCCCCTTAATGTGGCTTTAAAGATGATCTCCTCCAACCTTCTCATGCCACAGATAAGGAAAAGGAGTTGTCTGGGGCATCAGGACATTAGTACCAACAGGATGAGAGACTCAGAACTGTATCTTTAGGGGGACCCATTTATTCAATCAACTAGCACTGATTGGCTCAAGCCAATTACCAAGTCTTTATTTGGCAGCTACCTTGTACCTAGCACCATGCCAGACTCAGCAGTAAATGGTAAAAAGCAAGTTTCTGAGTACCTACTGTGTGCCAAACACTGTGTTAAGCACCAAAGATGCAAAAATGACCAAGATGGCATCCTGTCCCTGAGGGACACTTAGGTAAGCAAAGTCAGAAGTGTCAATAAGCTGTGTTCCCTGTCTTCCAATTGCTGGCAGAGGAGACAGGACTCACGTGTATGAAGCTTTCAAGGAACAGGTAGAGACAAAGCTGTATGCTGCTGATTATCAAAGAGATGCTTGTCGCCCTGGGCAGACATCCAAGAAGGCTTCCTGGAGAAGGAGGACCCTAAGCTTACCCTGGATATGGGCTGCTGAGTGGCTACTGAGTTCATTGCATGAACTAGAGATCATAATGTATGGATTCTGAGCCTAGGTTTACCTGCCAGTATAGATGTGGGGGTCAGGGGGAGTCCTGGAAAATAAAGCAAGGGGATTCCCGAGAGTAAGAACGGACCTCTGAGGGGATTATTATCCCTATCCAGCTGTGGGGAAAACTGGGGCCCAGGAAGGTAACTGAAACTGCTTCTTCAGAAGCTATAACTGGGAGCCTCCCACAAGGCCAAGGCCAGCCCCTTTGATCATACCAGTAAGTTGCTTCTGAAACTGGGCACTCCACATGGGGAAATCCCTGACTCTTTTTCCACTTAGATCCCATGCCTTAAGCTCTAAGAAGCTCTTGGGACATTTAAGAACCACAACAGGAGCCCCACTCCCACAGAAACAGGCCTAGAATATAGTAACTGCCAAGTCCTAGAAGCCAGTGGGACTTTGCAACCACCTTCAGTCTGAGAATAAACATGGTGCACTCACGGCTCTCAATCTCCGTAAAAGAGGGTCCCTTTTTACACGGAAACACTAAGGATTCCACAGTGAGAGTAGCTGTACTTTTTATAGTCATTGGCTGGGACGAACACAAGAGCAGCCAGCTGCCGTGCGTTCAGCGGTGCTTTCGCGTACACCGTGTTATGAATACAGTAATACCTATAGTTTTAGGAAAGAGTAGTGTCTACATGTGACTCATGTGCCTTGGTCAGCTGGCAGAGTGCTCGGTGTGCAGTGGAACTGGAAGCCCTGTAGGCAGCAAAGCTCTACCTCAGTCCGAGGAACAGCTGTGTCCCTAGGCCTGTGGTCTGAATCCTGGGTTTCCAACCACAGGCAAAAGAAGTCCTAGGCTGGCGCAGTGGCTCACACCTGTAATCCCAGCACTTTGGGAGGCTAAGGCAGGCAGATCCCTTGAGACCAGGAGTTTCAGACCCTCCTGGCCAACATGGAGAAACCCCGTCTCTACTAAAAATACAGAAATTAGCCAGCTGTAGTGGCTCATGCCTGTAATCCCAGCTACTCGTGAGGCTGAGGCAGGAGAATTGCTGGAACCCAGGATGTAGAGGTTGCCGTGAGCAGGGACTGCGCCACTGCACTCCAGCCTGGGCAACAGAGACCCTGTCTTCAAAAAAGAAAAGCCTTATGTCAGATCACAGCTTTTGTTATGCCCAGGAAGAGGAGACACTTGAAGATGGATCCAAAACTTTGAACAGTTTCATGGTTTCCACTTTCCCAAGCTCCCTTTAATCCATCTATGATGCCTGTTCAGGGTTTACCTCTTGGGTGCCTGAAACACCACTGGGAGAGACCCCAATCAATGGGTAAAATATGGCAAATATGGCTGCCAGATCCCATTCCGTGGGGAGGAAACCACTTGCACCGCCCCCCGCCGCCCCAACTACCCACCCACAACCATTTCCCAAAGAGTGACATCTGAAGCCTCCACCCTGCTGCAAAATGGAGACATTATAGGGGGGGCACAGATGCTGGGCTAGACTGAGGAACAGGAGGATGAGTAAAGCCTGTGGCATCCTCCCCCCGCTCTCTGACGGTTCCACCCTCCCTCCCGTCTCCTTGCCAGCCCAGGTGGGCTTGTACAATTCCAGCCTGCCTCTAAATTGGTCCCACTGCTCTCCTGCTGCTGCTAAAGCTGGCTCTGTTCACTGAGCATGAGTGTCTTTCTCCTTTCTTTCTTCCTCTCTCCCACAATCCCTGTCCTAATAACAAGGCAGACATGATTTTTCAACGAATTCTGCCCCTCTCTGAGCCTCTGATATTCACCTTCCGAAGCCAAGCCAGTCTCCTGGGCTCACGTGTTCCATTTCCCTAATGCATGTCAGACTGGAAGCCTTTCTGCCTGGGAAGAAAACCTACCCCAGAGCTGGGGCATCCAGCCTCAGGCCTTTTAAAATTCCTTCTTCGCCTTCAGGCTGTAGAGAACCTAACACACATTTCCTCTGCCTCAGCCCAAAAAGACTATACAGACTTTGTTCCTTTTTCTGATTGAGAAATTCCATCCATTCCCCACTGGGCCACTGTCAAACTGAGGGTCAGTAAATGAAATTGTTGGGTTACAACTAGCATTTTAAAAAATGAAATCGAATACAGCATAGTACAGAGAAAACATCAGAGTCCATCATACATAGTGACAGTAAATGTAATTTTGCAAAGCACTGGTTTCTGTTGCACGTGTGCATGAATGGCACGCATAGCGCGCTGAGGACTCTGGTCAAAAGAATCTGAAAAGACTCCACCTAGCCTCCCAGCCCCTCCCTGGCTGCGTTGGCAGAGACCCAGCAGCACCAGTGGCTCCTGAGCTAACGTGGGTGGGCACGTGTGGCTCACTCCCAGCTGGCACTCACTTGCCCGTAATTGGTTTCTCCTGGTCCTGTTCTTGGATGCCACACAGAGGAGGCCCTTGTGATCTGGTCTCTACTTATTCCCACAGTCTCATCTCTTGCACTTTGTAGGTTCAGCCACACTCACTATTTGTAATGTCCTTCAAGACACGATTCTTTCTCCTGCCTCCTGTTGTTTGCACATATAATGTCCTTTGCTTGGTCAATTCCTCCTTGACCTTTAGAACTCTGGACATCATTTCTTCCTGAGCGTCCTCCATGACCAGCCAAGCCTCAGCCGGGTTTCTCCTCCACATTCCTGGATACACTAGGCTCACCGCCACCTCCTCATAGTACGCTGTCCCCCTTCCCTCCATCCTTCCCTCCGCCCTCGCCTCTCTTACCATGGACCTGACTCTGCCTCTGGCCCACAGGCATCCGCTGTGACAGCACGTGTCCACCTGGCCGCTGGGGCCCCAACTGCTCCGTCTCCTGCAGCTGTGAGAATGGAGGCTCCTGCTCGCCAGAGGATGGGAGCTGCGAGTGTGCCCCTGGCTTCCGAGGACCCTTATGCCAGAGAAGTAAGGCTGATCCCCTGACCTCGAAGGGCTCACAGAGCTCATCCTCCTTTGTCCTCCCACGTTGGAACTAGGCCTGGCCTGAGAGAGGCTGGGCTCTTGAATCAGCCCCCATCCCTTTCCTCCCTCTGGTCTCCCCACTCTCTGCACTGGCTGTTCTGTCCCCAAGTTTGGGACCCAGCTCAGCTACTCAGTGGAAACACGGCCACACCACAGCTCCTCTCTGTAGAAAGGGATGAGCCCAAGATGTGGGAAGCATGCAGGTCTCCCCATGTTTTTGAGAAGCGTGGAACAGGATGGGTAGCTAGGATGGGTACGTGGCTAGCTAGGCTGGTCCCTTGGGCTGCTGACCAGCATCTCCTCTTCGCCCTCAGTCTGCCCCCCTGGGTTCTATGGCCACAGCTGCGCCCAGCCATGCCCCCTCTGCGTGCACAGCAGTGGGCCCTGCCACCATGTCAGCGGTATCTGTGAGTGCCTCCCAGGATTCTCTGGAGCTCTCTGCAACCAAGGTACTGTCTCCAGTGGGGAGGTACTGGGCAGGGCGGTGAGAGGTTCTGGGAGGAAAGTGGCAGGGGTGGAGGGATTCGGAGATTTTCATCACACTCTGGAGGTAGCTCCTTCCCTCTTCAGGGATTGGGCTGCCTTTATGAGAACTGAGCCCCACATGGCATGAGACAAAGGCCCTAACACAGTCAACAGGCTCAGAGAGGTGAGACGATTTGTCTGATTTCGCAGCTAGCAAGTGGCAGAAACAAATTCTGGTTCCAACATACATGTCAAAGGGATGAAAAGTGACGTAAGCATAGAGGAGATCTGCATTAGAGGCGGCATCACGTGGTCTGTGCCGAGTGCCACGGGTAAAGGCAGGGAATGCCGTGGGAGAGCAGAGGAACTGGCTCTGGCTCTGGCTGGAGATGGCAACTTCCAAGCTCTCCTCCCGATCATATTCAGGCCACCATCCCTAATCCCTCCCCATACACTGTACTGACTTGACCTCAGAATCCTTCACAACACCAACTCCAAGAACTGCTGCCACTTACCAGGAGTTGAAAAGAGAGAAGGCTTATTACATTGGTGTCCTGCTAAACCAGCTCTTTGTAGGGGAAAA